AGACGTTCTGAGAAAAGACGGCATCGCATCATAATTTTGGCGTGATTTATTCGCTTAATGCCATGTAATGATATTCTTTTGAGTGTGCCTATATTTCTGTTCCTAGTATTATCGTTGCGATCAGCAAATTCATTTGCCACCTTGGCAAGGCAAAGTTTGTCCGTTGTCTCTTTGTGGCGGTTTAGTTAATAGTGTCAGATTACTGAATTTTTCTTGAGTCATTGTTGAGCGGAGCCTTCGACAGGACATTTTTTAGTTCATATTTTTTCTTATTATTTCTCAAATGTACCTCATCAATACTTAAAGCATTAGAATGTGCAAAAAATCTTCTGCTGGCATGTCGAGCGTAAATTAAACCTGATACAAGAACGGATAAGTCGATGAGTAATAGGTTAAATTTCATTTCGACTAAATGCTCTTTTCACCAACAGACGTCTTCGACTAAGTTAAAGACTGTCGTAAGGACTTACCATCGGGATCTAAACGGACCAATCATAAATTTAGGATGTTTTTTTTCGAGTTCCGTCAGCCGATTATTCTTATCCCAGGAAAGAAATTGTCTGCTACTAAGCTTTTTGTCATTAAATCATTTTTTGGCCCAATTTAGGTTTCTGGGAAACTGTCCACCAACCCCTCCCCTAAGCTAACATTAACACTTACTTCTCACTTGGGGCAAAATGTTGGCTTAGTGGAAGGGTTGGGAGGGCAGTTTCCCAGAAACCTAAATTCATCCCATTTTTGTTGTTGTTCATAATGGGGGGGCCGTGCCTCCCCAGGCACCCCACCCCCTGCGCGGGCCCTGACTTTTCGGTGCCAAAAACTAATTAGGCCGTGAAAGCAGTTAGAGATAACAAATATTTTGTTGCATAGCAGCATTTTAGTGAAGATCTCTCTCGGATACCTTTGGTATACGCTGTAATCAGCAGCAGCGAGACGATTAAGGGTCGAGATTATCATCATCGGAACGTGTAATAAAATATGCGCCATAATTGGTTTCCTGCCAAAATTCTAAACTATCTGCGAGTATTATTTTACCCTGACTGACGTTCATCTCTAATCTGCCCCTTAACTACACGACAAGCTAGCAATGACATAAACGGGAAAAAATGGAATTGCGTACGTGTAACACCTACTTTTAATTCTGGAGACAGAGGGCAATGAGAAAATTATAATCGTCCCTTTTTAAAAAAAATAATATTCTTTTATTTACACAACAAAAGTTACAGTTATAATAGTTGAACTAAAAAAAACAAATATTACAACTGGACTATAATATAATAAAAAGGAAAAGAATAATACATAATTCACATAAACCCATTTTTATATTACTGGTAATGAGTAGAGCAATGAAAAAACCGTTTTTCCGTCACCTCTAAAGCTTCCTCTGTGAAAACGCCATGCCAACAAATATCAATCAGGATTCCGGCCAAGAATCACCCTACAGTAATGGCCTTCATCCACATGAGTAATGAATGAAATGCATCGTCAACGGCCAGCTATTCTAGGATAATAATTACTTATGGAGTCCCCCAGGGCTCAATTCTGGGGCCAGTGTTGTTGTTTTTGGTTTTTTTTTCTTGTAAATTACAATCCACAATCATTCATTACACTCAAACTTCACCCTGTTACGATGCCAACGAACTCGATCATCGCAAACTCCATAGCCTCATATTCGTAGTTGCATTGGCTCATAGAGAAAAAATTCAAATGCACCCCTCTTGTTTTAACTCCTTGGCTCCTCTTATCAAGATCTGAATAGAAAGATAAGTAGGCATCCTAGCTGGTGTGGTAAACAATAAACCTATATCACGATCCAGCACACATAAATGCCTAGGGGTACACTTAGATGAGACTGAGCGTCATATCGATACGATGATGATGTGTAAAAAGGCTGGCGCGGGTATAGGAGCTGGGAGGTGTATTAAGAGAGTGTCTCTGTAAGAGCGGTCCGGTCAATTTTGCTTGAGACACAGATTTAGCTCATTTCTTGTGTGTTGTAAGACATTCATTTACCTATACTAAAACCACAATCCGTTTGATCGGATCTCTTTATTTTTCAGAGTTTTACGGAAATTAAATTTCACTCGAGCGAAAGCCTGTCGTGACACTTTTCAAGACTTTAACTTGAGACAACTTTGGGGGACAATTTACAAAAAAGTACGGGACTCAGCAAAAGACAAATACCACAGCCATATATATTAACTCTATCTTATCCATCGAGGCGACTTTCGTGAACATCACGTTTCAATCAAGCAAACAGGAAGACTTGAACGACACCTTATCGGTTCGCTTGAGTCACACACGCGAAAACCGATCAAATTCAAGGTACATTTTGGAAAAAGTGAGGCGTTCTTAACTGATCCAACTAATATAGCTAGGGAGTAGGTGCCATAGAAAAGATAACTACAGAAAAAAACTTTGCGGCCCGACCTTTACTAAAACTTTATAACTCCGTGAACTTACCTAATTTTCGGCAATCTCCAAGTTTTGCCGCCATTTTGAAGGACTTGTCAACATGAAGCGTAGCAGATATAAATCGAGCAGGTAGATCTACAACCGTCAGAAATACATACCAAAGCATTCAAATGAACTTCACTTTCAATTCAAGGGGCAAAATTTGAAATTGTTCGTTAAACCTACCACTCCTACATCCTCATGCGACCATTTCTTCCAACAATTCAAACACTACAACTAGTGTTCGAATTTCCCTCGTCGATTCCACCGTAAGAAATAACCTGTACCACCCAAGCTTCGACTCGAATGTGAAGTACGAATCAAACAACATAACTGCGTCATCTTCGAGGCCATTTCACGCTGGTATTTTGATTTTCTGATCGACAAGAGCGGTGATCAGGAAGTGATCGCCATGTTTACCTCATAAACGTGACCGCTGACCAGCCGCTGAGTGAAAACAGTACGGCGCGGGGTGGTGTGGGTGGCGGACTTATCGCCATAAGATATTCGAATACATGCTAAAAAAGCTTTAGGGGTGTCAGTCTAAACAGTGAAGGTATGCTTCGTGGTACAGACAACTTTTATTTTATTCTCATAACTTTTTCTTTTAAATTGGAACTGGTATTAATTAATAGAGTTATTTAAATATTTTTAACCGAGGTAACCATATGACCTTTTTACTTGTCCTCAGTGGTATAAAATAAGGTGTCTTTTCTTCCAGAACCTTTTATTTATGCGTTATTTGCACGGAATGAACACTATACTTAGAAGGTTTGTTCTAAATCATTTTTGCTGTTCCCAAGAATGTACAGAGGAAACCCGTTACTACGACCACCTTCGGGCCATGGAAATTTGGTCGTATTAACGGGGTAGTCGTAAATTATGGTGCAAAATGCTTTTAAACTACATTCTACTACATTTATACCTTTAATCCGCTATGAATCAACCAACCTTTTGGCAGTTAATTAACAACCTTACAACCGCTATTCAATGCAAGTCAACAATGTAACAGTAAACGAAACCGAGTAATGAGAAAAAACACTGACTTCTTTCAGTTTAATTTTCTTGTTTTGAAAGGAAGGGGCTTGTGATGGGGGAGGATGCGTGATAGAAATCCCATGCGTTTACAAGTTTACTGGACAGCCAAGAAAGGTTGATATGCTTAACAAATTATTAGACATTCCAAATAACCGATCTGTGAGAGAAGAACAGGAAATGGACTCGAAGAGAAAAGCCACAGTGGAAGGCAGAAGAAACAAGAAGGCAAAATAACTTTGAGAGCCTCGAAATTCTGCAAAGTGAAGTCTTTCAGATCTTTTGTATTATTTATTAATGCATTCTTTTTACTGAACACTGCAATTTAGCGGATGTCATGCTAACCACTAACACAAAAAAACATCCAATAAAATATTAGTAATGCGTTATTGTTGTCAGATTGTGTCTGTTTTCATTCAGCAGCCCCACCAAGCATTTTGACTGGTCGTATTAACGGTGTAATTTTATAAAGAAAATAACGACTCAGGTGGTCGTTGGTGGTAATAACGGGGTGGTCGGATTAACGGGGTTTTCAGATAAGAAAATGAGTGGGCTTGTGTTCGGGCCACGAAAAAGTAGTCGTAATAAAGGGGTGGTCGTATGGCGGGGTTCGACGGTATGCAAAATCATTGCTTTATACAAAGCTGCCTCTAAAATATGGTTTTCCTTAACAGTAACCAATGTCATTTACGTAAGGTGTAAATAAAACTAGCAATGTACAGTTTTTAGCGTTTTCCACTTATAAGCCTGACATACAATTGTCAAGTGAACTATGTTAGTTTCAGCTCATTCCTTGATTGCATGTGACCTTTTATCACTAAACCCTATTCTTTTCATTTGCAATTTTCCTGTACTTGTTTTTTTTTTTCATACGACAATGACAAAGAGTTTTATAAGTAAACCGATTTTTTGGTGTACCACGCTTATTACATTGTATATACAAATACATGCAAAAGGCCGGCTAAATAAGCTCCTCCCCCTGCTCCTAATTTTTTGGGTTGCCTTCGCCCCATACTATGCCTCTGCACGACTCCTTGTCGGCTAAAAGGAAATTTGAAAGACTGCTATGCAGGACACATTTTCTTTTTCATTTTCATTTACCCTCTACAATTTTTTTATAAGTATGTAAAGATATAAAAAACACAAAGGTTTTTACAAGTAAACTGTTTTTTTTTTTGTACCACTCTTAATATATACATATACCTTGTTCTGGCAAAATGGTGGCTAAGAACGGCTGAATTACCTGAATATATACCTATTTGGAAATAAAATGATGCTGTTTGGTTTCCCGTTAAAACATTACGTAAGAGTGACGCGTGTCTGTTCAAATTGTGACAAAACCACGTCACAAAGTCAAAGCAAAAGAGAAAAAAGTGTAATTTTCATAACCAACTTACAATCTCTCCATTATAGACAGCAGCTACAAGGGCCGTTGGGTCACTGCTTGGCGGTGTAATTATCCTCCGACTGAGCAGTGGCATTCATCGGTCATTTCCTTTATTTTTGACATTAGAATAGCTTTGAAATCTCTAGATTTAAGCTGGGTTGAAAAATTCTCATCCCTTACCCTTTCAGAAGACGACAGTACCAATGTTATCGAGAGACAGGGTAGTGAACCTTTCCAGTCGAATTTAAGTGAAGGATGGGCACTTCATAAGCCAAAAGGTGGCGCTCTTCGCTTCTCAGAGAAAGTAAGACAGTATCTCACCTCCAAGTTTGAAATTTGTGAGCAATCTGGAAGGAAAGAGGATCTGCGACAAGTTTCGCAAGATATGAGTAAAGTGAAGAGGGAAAACGGGGAGCGCCTGTTTTCCCGGGAAGAGTGGCTAACCAAAGCCCAAATACAAGGATTTTTCTTCTGTTTGTCCTCCTCGAGATGGAGACGGGCAGGTTCGTCTCCGAACACCGCGGTTGACGATAAATCTAACGAGGAATTAATTGACGAGGAAGAAGTGAATCAGATGACCACCGTCGAATCAGTTGTAACAGAAATTGGCTTAACGCATCCGATTGCCTATGACATTTATGACTTGTGTGACTACGTCAAGGAGGAAATATTGTACTATTTTACTGTTTCCATGCTTAAGGAAATCTGTACTTTCTTCGAGCTCCCATTTAAATGGGGGTCGTGCAGAGGCATGTATGGGGCGAAGGGAACCCAAAAAATTAGGAGCAGGGGGAGGAGCTTATTTAGCCGGCCTTTTGCATGTATTTGTATATACAATGTAATAAGCGTGGTACACCAAAAAATCGGTTTACTTATAGAACTCTTTGTCGTTGTCGTATGAAAACAAAGTACAAGAAAATTGCAAATGAAAAGAATAGGGTTTAGTGATAAAAGGTCACATGCAATCAAGGAATGAGCTGAAACTAACATAGTTCACTTGACAATTGTATGTCAGGCTTATAAGAGGAAAACGCTAAAAACTGTACATTGCTAGTTTTATTTACACCTTACGTAAATGACATTGGTTACTGTTAAGGAAAATCATATTTTAGAGGCAGCTTTGTATAAAGCAATGATTTTGCATACATTCTTTGGAACAGCAGAAATGATTTAGAACAAACCTTCTAAGTATAGTGTTCATTCCGTGCAATAACGCATAAATAAAAGGTTCTGAAAGAAAAGACACCTTATTTTATACCACTGAGGACAAGCCAAAAGGTCATATGGGTACCTCGCTTAAAAATATTTAAATAACTCTATTAATTAATACCAGTTCCAATTTAAAGGAAAAAGTTATGAGAATAAAATAAAAGTTGTCTGTACCACGAAGCATACCTTCACTGTTTAGACTGAGACTCTTAAAGCTTTTTTAGCATGTATTCGAATATCTTATGGCGATAAGTCCGCCACCCACACCACCCCGCGCCGTACTGGTTTCACTCAGCGGCTGGTCAGCGGTCACGTTTACGAGGTAAACATGGCGATCACTTCCAGATCACCGTTCTTGTCGATCAGAAAATCAAAATACCAGCGTGAAATGGCCTCGAAGATGACGCAGTTATGTTGTTTGATTCGTACTTCACATTCGAGTCGAAGCTTGGGTGGCACAGGTTATTTCTTACGGTGGAATCGACGAGGGAAATTCGAACACTAGTTGTAGTGCCAGTGAATTGTTGGAAGAAATGGTGGAATGAGGATGTAGGAATGGTAGGTTTAACGAACAATTTCAAATTTTGCCCCTTGAATTGAAAGTGAAGTTCATTTGAATGCTTTGGTATGTATTTCTGACGGTTGCAGATCTACGTGCTCGATTTATATCTACTACGCTTCATGTTGACAAGTCCCTCAAAATGGCGGCAAAACTTGGAGCTTGCCGAAAATTAGGTAAGTTCACGGAGTTATAAAGTTTTAGTAAAGGTCGGGCCGCAAAGTTTTTTTCTGTAGTTATCTTTTCTATGGCACCTACTTCCTAGCTATACTAGTTGGATCAGTTAAGAACGCCTCACTTTTTCCAAAATGTACCTTGAATTTGATCGGTTTTCGCGTGTGTGACTTAAGCGAACCGATAAGGTGTCGTTCAAGTCTTCCTGTTTGCTTGATTGAAACGTGATGTTCACGAAAGTCGCCTCGATGGATAAGATAGAGTTAATATATATGGCTGTGGTATTTGTCTTTTGCTGAGTCCCGTAGTTTGTTGTAAATTGTCCGCCAAAGTTGCCTCAAATTAACGTCTTGAAAAGTGTCACGACAGGCTTTCGCTTGAGTGAAATTTAATTTCCGTAAAACTCGGAAAAATAAAGAGATCCGATCAAACGGATTGTGGTTTTAGTATAGGTACATGAATGTCTTACAACACACAAGGAATGAGCTAAATCTGTGTCTCAAGCAAAATCGACCGGACCGCTCTTACAGAGACACTCTCTTAAGAACTTTGTATCTGGAGGAAACACCCAACGAAATTTCGTTAAATAGTAAAAGAACAAAAAAATTCCGCCATTTTATATGGAGATTAAAACAGTCTAGGATACCCTAGTACAGTCTGATGCTGTTCCCCTCTGTGGGACAGCTTGGGCAAATTGTTGAAATATGGTATTTAGAATTTTTAGAGTTCTTACAGGCGCCAGTAACAATATATTAATCGCTCGGCGGATCAAAGTAGATCTCCTTCTGAGATACACTTAATACCACTAGACGGCGTTATGCCAACTCCATATTATTGTTCTTGGGTATATCATTTCAAGTTAAAAGAAATATTTTATTATACCACGTGACTTCGTTCTTTATTTCGTAAACAATGTATCTACGAGTTCCTCACAGTTCTTACTTTGATATTGCCCTATATACTCTGCGCTCATAGTTTTTACCATAAAATACGGTCTGAGATTCTGACTATCAAATACCGTGTGGCACAAATTTTCGCGGGAGTTTAATTTTGCGGACTGGCGATTTTTTGTGTTTTGTGGGAACTAATTTTTGCGATTGGGACAAATTGGTTTTTCTTGCTGGAAATTAATTTTTGCGATTCTCAGAAAGTACCCAGTACCCAGCGTTGATAATATTTTCGTGTTTGTTAAGTACGTGCGATGGAAAGACATTTTTCCAAACAATACAATACGGTATGCGTACCCTATGTAAAACCAGCTGTAATTCATTGTTTACCGTCTTGTTTCTGAATGAAATACGTAAGTTGTAATTGAACAGACACGATTTCTTGGTACTGTATTTTTGGGTAGCGAATTTAATTTCGAGAATATTTACCCTAGAGTAAATTTTTGCGGGAAAATGTTTCCGGTAATTTTTATTTGCGGGAACCTACTTTTGCGTATCGCTAAAAAAATCGCAAAAAATTGGAACCCGCAAAAATTTGTGCCATCAACTGGCATAAGGTTCGAGCCGTCTTAAACCAAACTTAGAAAGGAATAATGGACCTTAAATAGACATGATGTTGGTCAACTTGCTCACGAAGTTTCCGCAGTGCCTCCCTTCCAGAAAGAGAGATGCTCCTTTCATCAATAGGAGGCAAACGTACAGAAAGCAGAGAACACGAGGGATTATGGGTCACGATGCGAGATTCTTCAGCATTTTGACTTTCCACTGCTGAAAGCAAATCTTCCTCGCCGTGCTTCGCCGTACCGAGTGTGATAGAGGGATGATCTCGGCGTAGCATTCGAAAATGCCTTTTCAAATTGTAGTTATCTTGGGAGAAGATTACGAACTCATCCTTTCTGCTGCTGACAGCCGCAATATGCTCAATTTCTTTTTGTTCACTCAACAGATCAAAATGACTCACCAGCTGGATATCTTGGAGTGATGTTTTAAATGCATATGTCGATGTCGCCAGTTCGGGATGTAACGGTAACATGCGCTTATAAATTCGCTCCCAGATCTGCTGTGTTGAAGGTCGAGCAAATGGTGCATTTACCAACGAAGCTGAAGAAGACGACGAGGTCCGGCTGGAGTCTTCATCGTGTCCTATAAATTACATGCAAAATAAACATAAGGCACACAGGCGTGAGAGGCGTGCAGGTACTCCGAGCTAGAGTACCCACACAAGAGATTTATGGGTTCAGTCTCCAGTCACGTTACCAAAGTGATCACGTGACCTATACAAACACCATCGTAAAAAAAAGACAACGAGAGGTTGTCGAAACGTCGATGTTTCAATCAAGGATCCAGAAAACAAAAACCTTCATGCACAAGAGATTTAAACATTACAGGCGTTACAGTATCTTTCCTAACATTATAATTTTAACTCATTGATCTGCTACAGTTTGTAATTTAAATGAGCACGCTCACTTTCTTTTTTACTGCATATAATCATTCAGATTTTATTGGTCTACTTAGAGATAATTCAGCGTAGCTTGCAATTAAAAAAAAATGGAAAAAGGCCTGCTTGTGCGATGCGCAGTTTGCTGTCAGACCTCTGGGACAAGACGGCTCCATGTGCATGTAAGAAACTACAAATCTAAACAAGCATAACAATTAAGCGGTAAAGCTCGTCCTTGGACTATGTTAGCAAAATATCATGCAGCGCCATCATAATGATTATAATATTCTGCCTTTGATCTCCGAGGTGGGATGGTGTTTCAAATGGCCAGAGCGTAAAACTGATAAATGCCGTTAATGCGTGGATAAGAAAGAGACAATAATGCTTTTGAACGTTATGCAATATGCTTCGATGTTGTACGAAATTTAGTCATTTAACCTTGAGGGTATACGTATTATTTTTCTCGATTCTAATTGGCCCAAACATATCCCTGACGTACAACTCCAGCGGCCAGGGAAAATGCATTTAGTTTGAGCGTACCTTTAAAGGTACAAAAAAATATTTAGGAAAACTGCTTTCGTTTATGTAAAGTTACAGATAAAATATAACCTAATCAGACAGGACGTTACCTATAGTAAGTAATGTCATTGCTCATTTACGAGTCTTACTAGTCTCTTCTAAAAATATTATTTAACTATTATTTCTTATTTTGTTCCTTGTTGTTTGATAAGCAACCAGAAGAAACAAGATTTTGAACTACATAATTTTATGAAAAATATTGCAAATATACCTAAGTGGAAGTAAAACATGCAAAAATAATTTCTTCTCCAGGTTTCAAACAAAAAAGGGATATGAGAACATAATACAAAACCATAATCATACGATGATGAACATTTAAATACCGACAACTATCTAAGTATATTGTCGAATAATGCGTTCGGCAAATGTACAGTTCGTCCATTTTTCCTTATAGCGAACTAAGCTTGCGTTGTTTGTTTGGTTCAACCTTTGTAGGAATTGCACTACGGTTCGTTTTTTTTTTCTTAACTAAAATAATTCAAGAGACGTTACTAACTAACCTTGAATTGTTTGGTTGGTTCAATCTATGTACTGAGGTATTACGCTCGGCAATTATAGAGTTTTAAGCTTGTACATTGTTTTTTGTTCCACCTGTGAAACTACCTGAAATGGCTTAGTGCCATAAACACCTAGTTTAAAGTTTACCACACGTTCAATGATGAATTAAAAAAACTCGTGTCAAAAGTCCAAGGTTGTTCTTTTTCTTCACATTACGTCGTAACGAATTTCAGGACGTAAACGCAAAAATTAACAACTCGACAAATAATTTAATTGACTGTCAACCTACCCTCATTTAATTTACGGCAAATCTTTTCGCTCCACTTCAAAAACGTTGCCATTGATGCCTAGGTAAGAAAGCC